TCCGACTAAAGCCTCCAATTGCTGGTACTACTAACTGCAGGAGAAAGACTCAGGAGCTTGCGCAGGCTTTCAAAGCAACTGCAGCGCAGGCCCAAGGTAGCCAGTTGTGCATCACCTGCCTTGCCTTGCGCGGGTTTGCCTTGGAGTCAAACAACAAAGAACAACTGTGTTTTTCTCTCCTGGGCAAAAGGCTCAGAGAGTTTTACTGAGATCATATGACTTCCCCACATTCGGCATGGGGTGTAGAGCTTGGATGGTGGCTTCTTGCAACCCAAAAGCGCCAACAGGAGGTACACGCCTTCCGATTGACAATGGAACGTGTACGTAAAACAACTTTTGTTTGAGGAATATCCTTTTGGCGAACCCCAGTTTGGGGTTCCGCGCCAATTTGAAAGGGAGTAAACGGGTGCCTTTTGGCTGTGGCTAGGGCATTGCGGGCGTGCCTCAAGATCTCAAGGAGGGAGAGATAGCGACACGTTTTGGGCCCCAGCAGCTTGTGCAGTGGCTGGCCAGCCAAACCAACAAGAGCTGCACGTCAAGGTATCATCCATGGGGCACTTCACTGGGGGGTCAATATCATCACGGAGTGTGACTTTTGGCAAGCATGACCCACACTTCATCTTCGTAGGTTGCAGGCACTGTGACGCGCCATGTGTTGCTTGGCTCGTTGGGATTGGGGAATGCAATGTCGGCACTTGCTGGATGAGATGAGACCACATACAATCACCTACTCTGCACGAAATCGCCGAACCTTCACAACATCGACATCCAGTCAAACAAAACATATTGCTTCCTAAACAGCAATCAACCCGCGGCTCGCAATCCACCAATTCACTGGGTCCCTTGCAAATTGTTTCACAAGTTCTCAGTCCCCGTGCTTTTGTTTAACCCCGAAAGCTCGCTCGGGTCGCTCGGAGGAATACCCCTTCCGTCCAATTCGTCGGGGAAAGCGGCGCCGAAACCGCGGCGCCTTCGCAGGAGGCCACGGAGGTGCCGTGGGAGTTGCAAACCGCGGCCGCGGCCTTGTTGCTGAGCGCGCCGCTGGCGGTGCTGCCTGGCGTCTTCCTTTGAGGCGGGCGAGCGGAAATGAGCCATGTCCTGAACACCAACTCGGGTAGAAGGTTCCCACAAAATTCCATGCAGGCAATGTATAGATATATATATATATGATAGATACAACAACATGAACCCATTTGGAGGGTAAATGCGGGCAAGTCAATATCGTTGGGGTTTGGGGTTCGTCAGGGATCCATCCCTTTTTCTAGTTGCGGAGATCCGCCCTTTCAATGTATGTAGATGCTTCTTTTTTGAGAGCCTTCCAAAGTTCGGTCGGTAAGGGATGCCAGAAGGGAAACACATTTTAGGGCTTATATACCCAGTCTTTTGAGGAAGGGAGTGGAGCCCCTTTTGGTATTTTCTTTCTATCCGGTTCGCACAACGGTTTTAGGAGATGCACCAAACCTTTTTACGGAAACCCTGTGGGCCCGACAGCCCAGGGCTGTTTGTGTGGAGAAAGCAGGGGAACCATTTGAAAGATCAACTGAAAGCACACGGCTCATGTTTTCCTTTGATCCCAACGGCCGTTCCCCCTGCTTGGCTTCGCCAGTCACCTCTTGAGAGTTGTTTTGGGGCCTAGACATGAGCTTTTGGTCCAAGAACAAGCCAGAAACAGTGTTCGACTGCTGGGGGCATCCAAGACTTTGAGAAGACTAGCTTGTTTGACATAGGTGTGCCATGATTGGAAGCAGACACACAGACACGTTTGATCACAACCACGACAACACAATCATAAACTCCATCACACTCTCGCACACAACTGGTGAATGCGCGTTGCTTTTTGATACAAGGTTTGGTCACAGGACAAAACCCAGACCCCTCATAAAAAGACCCCTCATAAAGGAGCCTGTGCCTTTGCTGTCTGGGGCTAGTGCTGTGGGCAAATCGCAAACTACAGGCTTGGCCCTTTGACTACCTAGCCATAAGCCTCCCGTTTCCCATGTCGTCGATTTCTGGTCATGGCCTGCTCATTTGGGTGATTGTCTGAAAGACAGCAGGCTACGGTCCCTCGCACCCTTTTCCCTGGCAAGCTGCTCTCTCCATTCCATGGGGCGGTTCCCAGCCTCGCAAGGGGCAAGGGCTGCGTTATCCAAGGCGCTCTGGCCTTACCTTTGCAACTTTCGCCATCTGAAGGGCAGCTGTTGTCCGGCCGCCCTCGACTCGGCCCTTGGGATCATATTTTTCAGGCAAGTGGCACTGAAACCTACCTGAGGGCACGCCGCCGTCAAGGTGGCCGCCACAAGTTGTGACCATCGTTTCGCGCATCCGGACATGTGCATCCGCGCGCAGGGGGGGGGGGAAGGAATGAAACAGTTGGGTGTATATTTATATGTGCATTGCGTGGTTCAGGTTGCTCTTATTAGTGAGAACACAATTTTTTGCATGTCTCGGAAACCGGTAAGCTTACGAAGCCAGACTTGCCTTCGAGCACGTGGCAGTTACTTCTCAAGGATGCGGCGTCCTGCCATTCCATTTGATGATTTTCAACATCTTCCCAGGACGTCCGTCGGGCACTGTTTCCGGCAGGTGTCGATTTCCATGGCTTGTCTCATTCCTCTTGCGAGATGACTGCCCCAAGCCTGAACTACTAAACCAGCCACATGGAAGTTGATGCCGATCGATTCGAGATTTGCTGGAGTCTCCGTCATTGGGAGGTTTGCTGAACAGTGCAAGCATCAGATTCATTCGGCAGATGCGCGGGTCAGGAAGCAACAGGACCCCACCCGGGGCCAGATGGGTAATGAAAGTATTTTTAGAAGCTAAGATGTCTAGACGTTGAACGGCTGGAATGACAAATTATGGTAGGGAGCAGAACATTCCAATCGGGGATGGGTATCAGTCAATGAATCGTGTAAGGGTGTGACTGCTAATTATTGAAGGAGCCAGGACACGCCCAGAGGCATGTCAAAAGGCGAATTTGTTGCACAAAATATTAGATGGTATGGCTACTAGCAGCTCAGGTGCCAGAACAGAAGCCGGCACTATCCTTGCAGGTTTTCCTGACCCGTTGCAAGTCTGAGTGAGTCTGGGTATGGCTTGGGCAGTTGAATGCCTATGCCTGCCGCCAGGATTGACAGCGGAAGCTGAGACCAAATGTTGGACGACTGAGAAGTTGTTCAAAGGAACACTGGACAGCAGCTAGACCCAGAGAGGGAGTTGCACTTGACCGTAAAGCTCCTGTCAACCCTGGCCACTTTTCTCTCCAGCTGAAGCTCTCTTTTTCGGCGCCTCGGACAAGCTGCGCCCGCACAAAAAGCATCCACCTCGGGGGGCGCAGGTCCAGCCGCAGTAAAGGCAGAAGTTTCATGATGGGATTGAATGGCGGCACGTCTTCTGCAACCAGTCCAACTCACAAAACCCATACCCAAACAGAAAAATGAGTCAGCAGCAGCTGTTTTTTTTTTTGCAAAAAGGGCCAGTGGAAGGAACCGGATCCACTGATTTGCCACTGAGGTGGCTTGCCAGAGCTGGGCTGCGCTTTCCAGAGCGACTGCAATGACACCGTGGCCTCCGGCACTTCTTGCGCTTTTGGCCAAGGGAGGACTGGGGGGCCACTCCCCAAGAAGTGTGTATCAGCCGGGTTCGGGAGCAGATTTGGGGGAGTTTTTCACTCGAGCATGGGAATGTGTCAACTTAGGGGATTCACACATGGCGGTTTTCCTGTCGGTTTGCCTTTGGAACAAGCCGAAGAAAGAGTACACTTTAAAAAGTCACACACACACACACTGGTAACCGGAGCAGCTTTTGCCTAGCCCACGTTGCCATGAAAAATTGCTTGGACCGGTGTCTCCGAAGTTTCCAGGGCTCAGCGTGGCCTTGTTAAGGCCACCCCAAAAACGCAAGATGCCGCAAGAGATACAAGGGCGCAATGCCATGCGGATCCAGCTCGTTGCATTCGCATTTCGACTTGATCATTTTTTGAATATGGCAGCAAGCAGCTTGGCAATAGTGTGGATGAAGCTTGAGCCTGGTCCCAGCTCCGGATTGTGTAGACTGCGACTTGTGGCTCAAGCACCAAACGGCACATGCCGCCTCACATTAAACCAGCAACCCCTCTGCGAAGTGTTGCAATTGCTCTTGTTTCCAAATCAACAGAAAGAGTGCACTCCACCGAGAGGAGCTTACTGTGAATGCTTTGAAAGAGTTCAAACTTGATCCGCAACCGCTTTTTGATCTGTCCACTAATGTCCTGTGGCTTGATTTGATCACTTGCCACAGACGGTCCCACCTGCCAATTGCTCAACCATCGCTGAGGCAGAATTCGCGTGCTTGGGTAGGAATTCATCCGAGCCTCATGCCAATGATCCTGCAGCCAACGTCGCTGCATGCCGGCCAATCCCGTCAGCGATGACGAGACAGTGGGGCTAGCATGGCCTGGTGCGGCACGGGCTCTTCAGCGGAATGCAACCATCCTCAAAGCAGCAGCTTGGATTCCAGAATGGCTCAAGGCACAGGATGAGAGCTCAACACCTGAATGTGGGACCTGAGTGGGCGGCTGTTGGGTTTTGATCAGTCCCTGGCCCAAGCTTCATGGACTCGTGTGAGGAGTGTTACAAGAGTCCACGCCAGCGGGATTTCGGTCCAAGTTAGTAGAGTTGGGAAATACGTACTATCCATTTGGCAGGTTACAACATGGAGCAAAACTCTATGTGCATTTTGATTGAGATGATGCTCAAACATGGGACGGACATCGATCTCGACGGTCAAAGGGGCCAATCAATGTAACAAGCATGGTCAAAGGGTCTGAGCAATTCAGCAACCTAGAGAAATGGATTGCGCGGGCATGATCAACGGGCCTGACCGCCTCAAGTAAAAATAACATGCCAAAGGGTGGGACCAATCAATATGGGTAGCTCGGTCTGGTCGCATGGCATACTGCTAGCGATATCAACAGCAACAGCCAGTCTTTTCGATGGCTAGCGATTGGCTTGGATGAATAAGTG